ACCCAGTTGACTGGGTCGTCTGGGTTGACTGGCCCAGACGGCTGGGCGCCCAGACGGCCCAGTTGACCCAGGTGGCCCAGTCAACTGGCGCCCAGACGGCCCAGACGACCCAATCAACTGGGTCGTCTGGGTCATCTGGGCATGCCTAATCGGTCCAGTCAGCTGGGCTTACGTCTCCTTTGTGGAGATCGCCGGAAAACTCCATTTTCGGCGATCTCTACTCCATTTTCCTCCTCCCAAACTATTATCCTTACCCAAAAATCATGTATTTTTCCAAAAATCAACACATGTATATAAAATCATGTTTTTTTTTTCCAAAAATCAACATAAAAACTTTAAATATGGGTCGTCTATTTTTCCTTTTTTATCAGTGCTACAATAATTTTTCTCTTTCCTTACTATCTTCTCTTTCTTCTTTAAATAGTAAGGGTAAATTTGGATTTCTCTTGATTTTCAATATTTTAAACATTTTACTTTTTTTTTTTTTTAATTGGTCAAAGGCCTCTTTGGAAAATTGGCCGGGTCAACTGGCTGTTGGCCACTAATTCCTCTAATGAAAGAAGCGGCATATATTTGGGCCACTGTAACCCGCGAATTGGGGATGTCCTATAGGCCCCTGTGCACAGGGTGTCTCACAAGGGGGTGGACCCCAGGGGTCTGTGCAAGAAGGATTTCTCTACTTCTCAATCATGTTACACGTACATCATTTTTCATATTGTCTCTCGTGACACCATATTATTGGACAATTTTAAAAAATAAATAATTTTTTCACCATTCAAATCTTTCCAAATTCGGTGATGTGAAAGATGATATACATTTTTGGTATATAAATGACTTTTCTTGTTACATAAATACGAGATTTTGAACAATCATTATATGGACTAAAAGATAAATACTTAAATTTCACCTCTAAAATCCTAAAAAATACGATGTAGAAGTTAGAAACATAATGTACCAATTCCAGCAAAAATGCGAATTCACCAAGTTCCAAATCAAGCAAAATTGAAATCATAAGAAGAAATCTTGTACAAACGAAACGCAAATAAGATCAAGAGATGCTTGAACTATCTTTTCTTCAAAATTTTCTTTCCCAAATTTGTAATGAATCAATCCAAATCTACAAGTTTCTATTATTTATAATTTTTTGTTCAGTTAGTTCATATTTTGTTTGATTTTGATGTTATTGAGGTTTTCTTGTTCTAGCACATATGAAATTTCACCTTTAGATTAATAATTTTGACTTTCTTTCTTATATTATAAATTCAAGTTGTATAAATTGGATGAGTTAGCCCTATTTGTTGGAGATAAAAATCAAAATTTTGTAGTTTTTCAATAAAAATTGATAAAATGTGTAGTTGAAATATTATCCCATAAAAAGTGACATGATGTAAATTTTTACTCGTATTTTTGCATATAAATTGAGATGTTAAAACTTGAAAGCGATATTTCCTGTCACTTTTTTCTAAAAAAATAAAATATCGCCTACTATCCCATTTGAATTTTTTAGAATCAATTAAATAGATGTATATATGTGTGTTTGTGAAAATTTAAATATGAATATGAATCCAAATCCTACTTTGCATTAAAAAGTGAGAGATGTAAAATTTTATTTTTATTTTTTTATATGAGTTAATTTACTAAAAATTAAAAGTGACATACTATGTCGCTTTTTAAAGAAATTAGTCTCACACTATTTTATTTGTACATTTTGTTTACATATATGAATAAAATTAATGTCTTTGTTTGTTATGGACACAAATATAAAAATGATAATGAATAAAACTAAGAAAATGACTGAAATTATTGTCCTAATAAAATGCACAAACAACGACTAGGATTGGACAATGGGCCGAGCTGGTCAATTTTGAACCAAGCCCTACCCAACCCAAAAATGGTAGAATTCTGAATAATTTGTAACCAATTCGAATCAGCTCAAACCAAAAATCTATCCAACCCCAATGGCGGCTCTGGCTAGGTTTATCTTCTTCTTCTTCTT